GCGCGTTCGTTCCCCACCATAGACACCTGCGGTCCAGAGTTTTGCAAATATCTCAGCAACATTGTGGTTGTATCTCAGCAACGTTGTGGTTGTATTTCGCTTAATAACCTGCCATGAAAATTATAGAAGGCAGAAAACAAAACGTTAAACATTGCTCCTCAGTGTTTGCTTCGAAAGTTTCTGCTATTCTAATGACGGTTCACACTATGCATAGAGAGCAGAGGAGCAAGGGAAGCTCAACGACTAGGGTTACACGTCAATAATACATTCATGGCTTATGGTTCAACCTTACTCCAGGCCAATCCAGTTGCCACTCATCCACAAGATTGAGGAGCTCGTACCTGTCGCCAAGCAACAAATGCCAGCTTCAGTCCATAGTGAGTTCCAAGCGCAAAGTATTTGGGAAAATTATCATATTAACAACACGTAGCGATTACATTCCTCCCAACGGTTTACCGCCTCATCATGGCTGGGAGGTGTTCCTGGGTGTCGGCCTGCGATCTACAACGGGGGTTTCATCCCCTGGCAGGGTCTACCAAGCTGAGAAGGAGTCCGGCGTTTCCATCAGGAAGCCTAGATAAGAGTAAACCAATGCCAAGATCCACCACCGTCCTGGTATCAAAGCCGCATGGTGGTAAATCTCCCGATCCACAAGGACGGCGACTGCCTGTGGTGATGACGACCTGAGGCAGACTTTGGCCAGCCTGACCTCGGGACTAGAGTGAACCACAGTGGCTTAACCAGCAAGTCTTCGAAGAATGGAGATTATGCTGGAGCCCGCACCAGTGAGGACAGGCCATGCAAGTATCAAGTAAGTAAGTGATTGCATTGATGATTGATGACAACATTAATGTATTGATAAGGAAAGAGCTTAAGATTTTAGTTAACACCATTAGAACCAAAACAAATCAGTATGTGAAGGAAGAAGATTAAGCGGGAGGGCAATGATAATGGAAGAGCAACGGCGACCTGCACGTCTCGTCGCGACTGGCGTGGGTCGCAGGGTGAAGGCAAAGGTCGCAAGATCTAGACCCCAAGCAATGAGCCGTGCCCGGTAGTATGCCTGGTGACGTGCATGATGGTTAAGAAGGAATCTGTATGCAGTGCAGACAATGGGGTGTTGTCACAAGTGTTTTACAACGCAATATGTCGCATGGAAAAATACTAAATACGAATCCATTATCATATAAAAGATGCAAAAGTGAAGGTAGAGAATATTTTACGAGAAATATTCTCTATATGACTTTCTTTGATCAATTTCGTGTCAACCTAATATTCCGAATAGGTATTAAGGCAGTTATCTTTTCACTGCCTCTACTGCTTATAAAGTGGCCTATACAGGTATCAACTTTATCGACGGGTTAGCACGCAGCCGTACCTGGTCAGACGTGTTCGGACACTGTGCGTTCTGAATGATTTCGTTCTACACTTGCATTTCAAATGTATCTTCGACGGTTGCTGGTGTTTCTTGGTTTTCTGTTGGCGGCTTCGTTGCTTTTCCTTGCAATTCTTCCACAGAAGCAACGATTCATGAACGCCATAGGCAACGCTGTTAGATACCAAGGTCAATTTTCTCTCCACTTCAAATGTAGTACTTATTGCAGGGAAAAAGTCTTACGAACTTAAAAGCTATTCCAGTTTATCACCATTTTGGATGATCAATGAAGTTATACTTCAATTTATTTCAGATTCCCCTCTTCTCAACAGCATTCACACAGCATGGGTGAGAGAATACTACGCGAGACAGGCACCTGAACGAATAGCTCTCCTTAATAACATGCGCAATCCCCTGAACTTTGCTAGCATCTACAATGTAATTGTTCCTGAGGTAAGTGGCAAAAACTTTAATAAATGGTACTACTTTTACTCTTAGAAGTTTAGTTAATGACGTAGTAGTGGCGATGCTCCGAGAGGCGGAGTGTCGGAGTGATCCGGCATCTTTTGTATCACTCTGCTTAGCGGTTAATACGAAAGTGCTTTGGATTATACATCTTAACGTAAATGCTTAAACTCTTATCAACTGTTCTTCTCTTGTTCATTCTTACATGTCCACTTTACAAGTCAAATTCAAGCTATCTCATCAACCTACACGGTGATCAAGGCACATAAGATCTCACCCTTAATGGATTTCTTGGGCGGATTTTACAGCTTCAAGGTTTCCGGATAACTTGGTACATTAAAAAAAGCCCAACCATGCATTAAATGAAAAATGCGAAGGAAATGCGGAAAAACTGGATACTACATATGGATTTGCAAAACAAACTTCCTGAAAGCTGTTGTCACACTATGATGCGTGTCTCAAGCTGTAACTGACCTCCATTAATGTTTGTGCTTGATGGATTACAATATCTGAGCAGTTGGCAGAGAGGATATGATCTTTGGCACCCTTTGAATATTTTATCTAGGAAGGGATTTGGGAACGAGTGAATAGAGAAAGGAAGCACGCTGAGTGCCGGGAATCTAAAGCAGAACGATGAAGTCGATGGACCTCGTTAGACATAATTCTCATTTGTTATCACTCGGATGTGAGGATGTGTCGCTCTCACTGAGAGATCACCAACGGGTTACTCGCGAGGCTACGTGGTGCGTCGCCAGGTGGAGCATTGGGATGTTAAACGGGGACCAAAAGCCACTTTGTGCTTCCGTGAGACGCAGGTGGATCTAGGAGGTGGGCTCCTGTTTATGCTGCGCTTATTTCGCTTCTGTTCTTAAATAGACATATTCGTACATGTGTGCGTGGGTATGCTCTCGTTTCCATAAATTGTATTCTACAAGTTGATTCCACCAAATACCTGATAGAAGATGACTGGGAATATATGGAAACTTGTTGGGAGGCGCCACCAACAAATAAGCTCCACCTCTACTCTGGCAGAAACTGGTGGAGTTACTCATGAGTATACATAGTCTCCACGTTCAGATCTCAGCAAGTTGTACGTGGTTATCAAGAAGCTAAACACAATAAAATAAACGGGCCTCATTCCCCTGACCCCAAAAGAGCCTTCGATACGGCAGCGTTCGATAGAATAAGTGCAGGAGGATAAAAAAGGATGAAGCTCTCGGAATTAATCAATCCCTGAAGGATGCGCCATGCATTCGACTTCATTGTTTGGAGGTGATTGAATGCATATCTGGCCTTTACAGTGCCTCGCGGTGGCCTACCGACGTATCGAGCCAGTGCTGCTATCCTCCCAGACAAGTCTAATACCAATTTGCTGACGCCAGAGAGATGGAAGGCTTGGTGGGCCATGGGCTCGGGAATCGATTCCAAGTGTGTGTTGCAGGGTGCCTCCAACCACTGCGCCACACGTGTGCTGGAAAGGCTGCTAGAATCTTACGACCATTCTAGGCTGCCTAAATATCGAAGGGCTAAGGCCCCAAAGTACCTAAAATACACGCTCACTCACATCTGAGTCCATGATAGAAAACTAGACCATGAAGGCAAGAATGATAACGCACGATGTCATCGGACTGGTCTATGACACCGGAAAAGAACTGTTCCTCGGAACATGTGGCAGTAGAAGACACGAGTTTCGCCGTGAATATCAATCCATTGGAGCAACTAACAACCAAGATCGGACGTCTACGATTGAAGAGACGTGGATGAATACCCGCTTTGACAATCTTAGTCGTTTGCGCATCGATATCAAGCTATGACAAAAACGAAGCCGAAGCGTTCTGTATGCACTTGGAGAAGTTCCACAGAAAACACCATACATTCTTCAAGTCACCATTGGAAACTTTAACGCTAAGATTGGGACTAGAAGAACGTCACATTGGGAACCAAGGATTAGAATGAAACGAGGAGGGTGAGCAGCTCTCTGAGTTTGCCATGATGACCAAGGCCTTTCATAGTAACTCGCAATTTTAGAAGCGTAACTGTCTCCCAGTGTCTCCCATCTTTGCAAGAGATTTCATTTTTTGCGGAAGAGAAAGAAAGCTACTAAATTTAAAGAACTAAATCACAAAATAGCGGTAAACTTGGATTTATTCGAACGGCTAGTCGGCTATTAGAGCGATAATGTGTTAACTTGTTAACGTACTCTTTTTTCTGAAGCTATAAAATAAAAAGGATAAAACTTTCGGCGTTGATCAATTCCTGAGGGATGAGCCATGCATTCGACTTCATTAAGTATCGTTTGGAGGTGACCAAATGCATATCTGGTTTCTACAATGACTAGCATTGGCCTACCAATATATCGAGCCAATGCCACCATTCTCCCAGACAAGTCTGGTACCAATTTGGCGAGCCCGGAAGGGCTTAAGGCTTGGTGGGCCATGGGCGCTCGGATCGATTCCACGTGTGTTGCAGGGCGCCTCCGAGCACTGCGCCACGCGCGCCTTTCTGAAGCTATACATACGACAATTTAGAGAAGTTCGTCGACTAGTCTCTTCTCCGAAATGTCTAGAGCAACTGAGGCAAGTCATCAATATCTCTGCTTTTCTCTCACCATATTCGTTAGTCGTTCAATACTTTAAAAGTTATGAAAGAGGAGGAAATTCCTACAACTTCCTTTGGAGGTCACCAATACGCTTCTTTCTCACGAAACGCTCCAGCTGGTGATTTATCGTGAAGCTATGAGTTTCAGAAATACTACCAGATGAAAGAGACATGGAGAAAAATAATAAGAGCTGCTAAGAAATGTGGAGGTTGACAGCACTACAAGCAGCGCATACTGAGACTTCGCCATTCCAAAGGTCCGTCCAGTAAGATCGTTTTCATCCAGATAGTATAACCACTACATATATAATGTCATAACCGTCGGCCGTTGCCGTTGGTCGTTTATAACCTATACTGAAGTATCTTGGGCAGCCATGTCTATCTGTATTCCAAAGTCTGAAGTGATATTGGTCCGACAACACCTGTTTACAACAACACCGAAATCCAAACCTATAAGCGTTAAGAACCTAGCGTCAATCTGTTCAAAATACTGACCCGGCTTTCCTCACAGTTCGGTTGGGATGGATACGGTAAGGGAAGCATAGGAGAACTAAGACATTTCTTACCAGAAACAGTGATTTTTCATGGGTTATACAAACTTCAATGCGTTTGGCATCGTTCTACAACACTATCACCATCGACCTCAAAAGGGTGATCTCGAAACGCTGTCAACCTCTCTAAAAACATTTTGCTATACTGTCAAGAACATTATGGGAAAAACTAGCATGAGATACCATTAGAATAAATCTATAGAATGGGCTGTCTAAATGATGGTACTGAACATATCTCATCTCATGCAAGGGAGCGTCGGATTACAGAATTCCAACCGTTTACTTCTCGAAGACGCTCATTTATCTCAAATGGGGTGGATCGAGAGCGTCAACATTGATCGCTAGACAAGAGCTGAGAGCAATGGGCTCCACGGGATACCAAACCCGCATGAAGAAGAGCTATTAATCGCCGGTAAGAACTACTGCACAACGCTATTCGTGTCCCTCGAAACGTTCGAGTCACGGCGACGATCAACAGACTGCTGGCGATTTTAGGAGAGTTTTTGAATTATTTGTGTTGGAGGACCATTTTCTTTCAAAGAGCAGATGGTGTTCTACAGTCCGTATTCAACAACATAGCTTTTAGGCACGGTGCCCAGATCTTGTTAGGGTGGGGAGAGTGAGTGATGGTGGAAAATACGTGTGCAATCCAAAAGCGTTCCCCACAGGAAACTGCAGGTACTTTTTAAACGATAATACATGTCGAGATGTTTAGCACAGTGGTTAAAAGTGTTTGGAAATGGACCCAGAGTTCGATCGTTCTAGCACTGTAAGCGAACCAAATGCTTTAAATCCTTCAGGCTCGACAGGTTGGCATAAGCCACTATGATGAAGTAAAATCATAGCTTGATATCTCACTTGATCACCACAATTCGTTGTAAAAAAGCACATAAAGCTCTTGGCGTTGACCACTCCCTGAGGAGTGCGTTATGCATCCGACCTTATTAAGCCTCGTTTGGAGGTGATTGAATGCATATTTGTCCTTTACAATGACTCGTAGTGGCCTACCGATGCATCAAGCCAGTGCTGCTATCCTCCCAGACAAGTCTGGTACCAATTTTCCGACCCTGGAGTGATGGAAAGCTTGGTGGGCCATGAGCACGGAGATCGACTCCACGTGTATGTTGCAGGGCCACTTCGACCACCGCGCCACACGCGCCCCTTCGATTCGTAGTATAGACTAAAAATTAGTTTAGTCGTCTCTACGATGGTTCACAAAGTCTAATACATGGCGCATCTTTCAGGGATTGATGTACGCCGAGTGCTTTATTTATTATCTATTTATTATAATACACAAAGTCGCCACATCAACGCATGGAGGTGGAAGAGTTCCAAATGATGATTGTATTGCTAGTCAAGCAGATGCATCCTGCACTTACTTTTCATTCTTGTAGTTCAAGAATTTGGCATGGCGAACAGCATGAATCTACCGAATCGAAAGTATCCGTAGGCAATCCAATCAAGTAATCGCGAGTAATGTTGCACCGCGCTACACTACCTACCCACTTCCCCTGCTTTAACTTTTATACGCGGGCATTCAGTGTCCTTCTGAAGAAACGAAGAGAGTATAGAGTGTCCATACGGTATTCGTAATGTTCATACGTGTTTTAGCATTTATTCATTTGGATTGAACAACGAAGTGTCGTTCGACGTTGAAATTCAACAAATGACTGGATGCCAACTCTATGGCTACGATTCTGTAAGTTCCCAGTGAGCGTTTCTAAGAAATGGGTGCTATATCTCGATGTCTATCAGTAGCGGCACTCGTTTTGTTTCCGGAGATTACAGTGTTCAAATTGTCACAAATCGAGTCGTAATTTTCATAGTTGTTGGCATGATATTTCTTGCACTTGATATCTACACGAAAAGCAAAGAGACAAATCACAACAATAGCGAACCTTGTCAGAATAAAAGTAAAACTTAGTCTTTGTTTGCTATTCCAGAGGAATGGCAAGTTTCGTCTATAATGTGAATTGTCATGAATTGTTTTTCCATATCAAAGCATATAACCCTCGCACATGTCGATCGTGTCGTATGTGATTTAATCTCCCGTTTTGTAAATAACCTGAGTATTATGGTGTAAAGCAAGAGCGTTATTAAAACAGTGACAACGTCTAATACTGAGTCGTTGGCGCAGTAACGACGATTAATTTCCGTTCCCTGTCGTGGCGCCTCCGTGGACCTCCCTCATTGAACGATTTTAAGCCAGTTAGTCATGAATCAACGTAGTGAGTCCGCAAGTGGTTGAAGAGGTCAATAGCTGACCAGAAGCGACTTCTGCTTTCCTAGGATGCATGTGGACTCAGGGAATGGACTCTCTATTTCTGCAGCGCCGATTTGACACATACCTTCCGTGCTTAAGAAGACATATCCACGTGTGCACGCGTGGATGTGTTCTCCTTTGTGCGGTTTGTACTCTAGGAGTCAATTCGGTGAAAAACTTGCAATTAAGTAACAAGGAAGTATACGGAAAGAGGTTGGGAGTCGGCTCCAACAAATAAGAATCCCGTCTACTCTGGGAGAGACTGGCAAGCTAGCAGTGAATATACCCAGACCCACGTTCAGAGCTCAATAAGCTAAACGTTTGTATCAAAGGCTAAATATAATGAAATAAATGGGCCTCATTCCCATAACCCCGAATCCCCCTCAGGTACGGCAGCACAGGCAAGGACGAGTACAGTAAGGCTATTAAAATCTCGAGGCAATTATGGGCCGCCTCAGTAGAGGATGGTACCATGGAAGCGAAAAAAGAAAACGTACGACGCCATTGGAGACGCCGCCCATACAACGCCATCTATGAGACTGGAGAAGCACTGTGCCTCGGAAAATGTGACAGTAGAGGGGTCGGCAGCGTTCTCTTCAACACGAGTTTGGCCATGAACATCAATTCATTCGAACAACCAACAACTCAAATAGAGCGTGTACGACTGAAAAGGCGTGGATCAATACCGGTTTTGATTATCATCTTCTTCGTCTGCGCGTCGACATCGAGCTATGACGAAGAAGAAGTCGAAGCGTTCTATATGGACTTGGAGAAGTTCTACAGAGTCTCCATGTATCCTTCAAGGTCATTATCGGAGATTTTAACCCTAAGACTGGACCCGGAGGAACGTCTGAAAAACGTCACATTGGGACCCACGGTTTAGAATGGAACGAGCAGGGTGAGTGGCTGTCTGAGTTTCCGGAGGGATCCATCCCCTTGGCAGAGTCTCCCAAGCTAAGAAGGAGTCCGGCGTTTCCATTAGGAAGCCTAACTAAGGGCAAACCAAGACCAGGATCTACGACCGTCCTGGTATGAAAGTAGTCGCATGGTGGCAAACATCTCTCTGATCCACAATGGCCGCAACTGCCTGTAGTGGTGATGACCTGGGTCAGATTTTGGCTGGGTTGACCTCGGAACTCCAAGAAACCACAATGGGTAGACTAGCAAAACTTCGAAGAAACGGAAATTATGCTGGAGTCCCCACAACGAGTGACGACGGGCCATCCAAGTATCGAAGTAAGTAAGTAATGAAAAAAAAAGCCTTCACGGTTGGTACTCGGAACTATTCAGTAGTTAACTCGAAAGACCGACTTTCTATAAACCTCGGCTTGGATAGTTGATATATTTATTTATGTGATCTTATAAACTGATCTTCTTAAGCTGACGAGAGGTTGGTACAGATCTTCGTTGTCGTTGTCGTTGTTTTTGATGTTATTGATCGATGGCTGACGTTTCGGCGACTTCGCCTTCCTCAGAGCCTGGACGTACTTTATGTTCGAACACTTTTTATTATTCGGTAGAAAAGAAGGTCAAAGTATTAATGAAGATCAGACTTTCAAATAGACGCCATATTGAACAGAAAGGCCACTCACCGTGATGTTACGTGCGGGACTGGCCCACACGTAGTTCACGTGGAGTCGCGAGCAAGACACGCCCCAGGGTCCAAATATCATTTTGAAATAGCGCGCCAGGTCACGCGTGATAGTAAGGCATTCGTCTTTCCGGTTCATCTTTGGATTTTTGAAATTTATCCAAAACGCCTCAAGAGTTTTGCGCCTTGATGTTTTCGATTCCTGCGCTAGGATCCGCACATTCACTTCAAAATCATTGCCGTTGTGCTTTTGTGCCCTATGCGTACCTAGAGGGGTGTTTAAACGGATTTTAGCTTTTCCATCAAGATGTTCTTTTATGCGCGCACAAAGTGGTCTACCCGTTTCGCCAATATATTCGTCGCAGCATGCATTACATGAGATCAAGTATATTATACCTAAACTCAGGCAATCCCCGTCTCTCCCGTTGAGACAGATCATACAGTTTTCTGAGCTGCACAAACGATCATAGAGACGATTTCGAACTAACTGGCGGCGTAGGGTATTGGGTGGGATGTCAATAATCGTTACATAATTTTCAAGACCACTTTTTCTTAAGCACTTTTTAATGGCGTGACTTACTTCGTTTGATATGAAGGGCAGCTTAAAGGGGATCCTACTTATGTCCAAAATATTATTTTGGGAAACTACCCAACCACAACGTTGCTGAGATATTTGCAAAACTCTAGACCGCAGGTGTCTATGGTGGGGAACGAACGTGCTATTGTCCTTTCCGGGGAGTAACGCGTTCACCACCACACTATGCGGGTCCTTCGTTTCGCCTGTCTCTCAGCTATTTCTATCGATCTTTTTGCCACAGCAATCACCCGTCAGTGGGGTTGATCTGAGGAGCCCAAATCGGCATAGAACCCAGTGAAGCTGAGGCTTTAGTTACAATCACAATCACAATTGTCTTGAAAATTATGCAACAATCATTGACATCCCACCCAATACCCTACGCCGCCAGTTAGTTCGAAACCGTCTCTATGATCGTTTGTGCAGCTCAGGAAACTGTATGATCTGTCCTAACGGGAGAGACGGGGATTGCATGAGTTTAGGTATAATATGCTTGATCTCATGTAATGCATGCGGCGAGGAATATATCGAGGAAACGGATAGACCACTTTGTGTCCGCATAAAAGAACATCTAGATAGAAAAGCTAAAATCCGTTTAAACACCCCTCTAGGTACGTATAGGGCACAAAAGCATAACGGCGATGATTTTAAAGTGAATGTGCGGATCCTAGCGCAGGAATCAAAAACATCAACGCGCAAAACTCTTGAGGCGTTTTGGATAAATTTCAAAAATCCAAAGATGAACCGGAAGGACGATTGCCTCACTATCACGCGTGACCTGGCGCCCTATTTCAAAATGATATTTTGACCCCTGGGCGTGTCTTGCTCGCGACTCCACTTGAACTACGTGTGGGCCAGTCCCGCACGTAACATCACGGTTAGTGGCCTTTCTGTTCAATATGGCTTCTATTTGAAAGTTTGATCTTCATTAATACTTTAACCTTCTTTTCTATCGAATAATAAAAAGTATTCTAACATAAAGTACGTCCAGGCTCTGAGGAAGGCGAAGTCGCCGAAACGTCAGCCATCGATCTATTCTAATATTAAATACGTCCAGGCTCTGAGGAAGGCGAAGTCGCCGAAACGTCAGCCATCGATCAATAACATCAAAAACAACGACAACGATAACGAAGATCTGTACCAACCTCGCATCAGCTTAAGAAGATCAGTTTATAAGATCACATAAATAAATATTCACTAGTTACGTGCTCCTGCGCTCACACGAAATAAAGTTTGATGGATATATCGCACCACCGGTTCTTCCTTCTGAAATCCTTCATGCTATTTCGTCGGTGAAAAATCGAACAGCACGAGATCCGAACAGGATAAGATCTGAACACCTGAAGAACCTTCCACCAGTCCTCGTAGACATACTGACTCTGTTCTTGACACGTTACATTTCTGAATACAAGCTCCCTGTTCAGTGGAAGATCAGCAGATGACGCTATTGTTCAAGAAGAGTGGCCTCCACGAAATCGGCAACAATCGCTCAACCTGCGCGCTGTATGTCGTCTACAAACTTTCCACTCGAGTCATCCTAAACAGGATTGACCGAGCACTGGACGAAGGAGAGCCATGTGAGAAAGCAGGGTTTCGAGCACTGAAGTATAGCGAGAGTACAAGAGACCGTTCTGTTCGACTCATCGATTTAAGGGAATCTATTGACTCAATTGAAACAGACTCAGTCGTGTAAGCTCTGGACATCCATTGCATATATAAAGAATCTTTATGAGCTGTATAAAAGTTTCAAAACCAAAATATCACCATTCTACAACGATATTGACATCGACGTCAAAGGAGGGGTTCGGCAAGGCAATGCCACCTCGCCAAAATTATTTACCGCCACTCTCTAGAACGTCATGCGAGCATTGGAATGGGATAAAATGGGAGTAAAAATCGATGATCGGCAGTTGCATCGTCATCGCTTTGCTGATGATATGCTTTGTTCTCCTTGTACTTATTCTGCCCCAAACAGGTGAAGATAGAGCCATATGAAAAGTGAAGTCAACGGAAGATTGCTAAGGTACGTTGCAACATCTTTCCTGCCTAGTGCATATCAATCCTCCAAACTCAAGAAGAAATATGAACAGACATCACGATATCGATGGAGAAAAGGTAATGTTTGAGAAAGCAGAGCAATAGTGACCCAGATATGACCCACCGTCCTTGTAACACTTATAACACCAAACATTAGCCAAGCGGAACGTGTGCTTGCCGACTTTGATAAAGCCTGTGGAAAGATTGGTCTTCGACTAAATCTCACAGAAACGATGTTCATGAAAAACGGATTGGTTTCACATGCCCCATTCACGCTCAACGGAACGAATATCTCCGAATGCTCCAGTTATATCTATCTAGGTCGGGAAATCAATATGATGAACGACCTAGCTCTAGAGTTGAGCAGGGGGAAACCAGTGGCTTGAAGAGCTCTCAAGAGCATCGGGGATGTAGTGAAGAGTACAATTCTCCCTGCCTTAATGTATGGGTTAGATACTTGGTCGCTGCGTAAGCAGGATGAAAGATCACTCAGCGTTATATAATGCGCACTAGAAAGGACGATGCTAGGAGTATCCCGTTCCACACAAGTAAGGTATGAGATCCGAAGCTCCGATCTGCGTCAACGATGAAAAATCAAAGATGCCGTTCTGTACGTCAAACAGTCGAAGATAAGATGGGCCGTACACGTAATGCGTACGAATGACAACCGTTGGACAAGAGCCGTTAGCGACTAGACTCATGGTGATGTCAAACGCACAGTAGGCAGGCCACCCAGCCGTTGGTCGGAATTTTTACGAAAACCCCAGAGGAAAGCTATGATGATCTACGAAGCCGCTAGAGTGAGCAGCCCTCGCTGGGCGAATTTTGCACGCAACAGAGAGGAATGGAGGGTTCACTGGCATCCGCTGGAGTCATTAGAAGATCAGCGAAGGGACAGGTCATACATACAGAGGGGGGATCGTGGTGCGCCGTATGGAATGCATTTTGAGCAAGGCACCCCTAGAAAATGAATCTGCTGTTTTGGTTGTATTTTTGGCTTTATGCTTTTTTTGTTCTTTATCGATATTCCTCGTATCGCATCTTTCCTCTTTGTCCTGCTCTGCATCCTTGCTATCGGAATATATCTAACTCTCTTACGTTATGAAAAGAGCCCATTCACCACTCAATTACATTGTTTCCAACATTTGTTAAGATTCTTTTAAGGTATATAAAGTAGGTTTCGTACGAGCAGTATATCCGCAAGTATACTAATTGGTCCTTAAAAATGGTTTCTTGTAATTTCTAGATGCACAGTAGATCCCTTCGTGAGGGAGATCGGTGGCGGTTGTTACTAGAGCATTTATTAATTCACAATAGCTGACGTTCTGGCGCTTTCACCTTTTTCAGAGCCTCGATAGTCGAATTGACAGGAAATCTACTCAGCCAGACACTTTAGTAATTCAGCAAATGAAACTTAGTACATGAATCTTCATCCGCATAATAAAAAACTTCTTTTAAAGACTCGTCGTTTCGTTCTTTGTGCGTTTTTCAGTTATTTGGTGAGAAACAGCCACTCAGGGTCCTGCATGGAGGAGGAATGAGCCTTGTTTACAACAAAAAACCACCCTGATTTATGATGCGAGGTCACTCATGATCACAAGGCACTACTCCTTGCTGCTCAGTTCTGGATTTTTGTATTTTGTAGCGCAGTAGTCGGGGGCGCCCTGAAATACACACATGG